CAGCTGTCGTCAGCACCTCGGATGCCATTTTGCCGAAAACTGGATACAGGGTGTCGGGGTCTGACTCGGGGTTAAGCTGGTTCAACTTGAGCTTTAGCTCTTTTGGTGCTGTAAAGGCTCGGCTTTGGGATGGTGCTCAAAGCAACATGGGGAAGAAGCCTTCGAAGTGCCCCTGCGATCCTCAAACCTTGACGCTCCATGTCGGCAAGGGGGCGAACTTTTTGAAAACCACGTGGATAAGGCCATGCATTCCCAAGTTAAATCGCCCGATATGCAGAGCTGCACGCTGTCGGATGTTGACTGTCTAGTTCCAAGGCTGGGCAGGGGCGTGAGAGCTGTGCTACATGTAGGGATGACACGGCTAGTGGGCTGGGGCCAGCCATCTCTACGGAAGCTACAGGTCATCGGTCAACCAACAGGTCTGGAACAATGTGGAAGAATCGAGTCTGATCTGAATTTCTTGGAATGAAGCCCGGCCGGCTTGAACAAGTCGGGATGATTGGATGCACCAAATGCAAGAACCAAGGGGATGCATGCTGCAAACTGGGTGGACATGCCATGTACGCAAAACGTCCTGGCCCCTCAAGTTCAGAAGGGAAACTGACAGGACAAGACACGCACAACGCGCAGGTCCAAGCGCTGAACCCCCTGCAAGTAAAACTGCTACTGCAGGGCTTCGCGAGCATGGCATGCTTCACAAGGGAGTGAGTTGGACCAGGTCGAAAAGAATGCCCGGCTGGGCTGGCCATGAAAATCCATGAAACAAGGACCTTCGTACCGCGAGTGGCACAAGAATTTGTAGGAACAAGCACCAAAACTGCCCTAAACCCTAAACCCGAAACCCTACTGTAAACCCTTAGCCCTCAACCCTAAACCTCAACCCTAAACCCTGAACCTGCCTCCTCCTCCTCCTCCTCCTCCTCCTCCTCCTCCTCCTCCTCCTTCTCCTCCAGATCGCCCCTGCGCACCTTCTGGCAGAATCACGCGTCTGAGGCCATCTTGTTGCCTGCAGCAGTACATGAAGTATAAATCGGTTGACATGATACATATACACTTTTTATATATTATGCATATATATATATATATAATATTCTATATACATATATAGATATCTACACACACATTTACTTATTTACATACAGTAGCCTCAGCATCATGGACAAGAGAAGGGTACCAAACGAGACCTATGTTCGATAGTCACCCCTTATGTGAGTCCGCGGGAAGGGTTGGCGGAGGACAAGTAGAAGGTGGGTGACGGGCTGGGCAAGCAAGGGGCCCTGCTTGCTGATCTCGTCAGGCAGTTGTCTACGGCTGAATCAACCCACACGCTAAACCCTGATTTTCAACCTGAAACCAGCGTTCCGGCACCATTTTCGTTTTGCATAAGACATCCCTGCGGGCAACATTATCTCACTGGCATTGCCAGCAAAGGTCAAGCGCGAGGTTTGATATTCCAGAACAGGCAGATGCCTCGAGACTCGTAACTTGGACGAGACTTGTACCGGGAACCAACAGTTTGCCTCGCAGCATGCTCAGCAGAAATATCGTCTCACCGCATCGGCAGGAATATTGTACACCAGGAAGCCACCCACGACATGACCACCTCAAAGCTACCTATTTGAGAGGCTCGGGTCGCAAATGCATGGCAGTACGGGCTCGCGAAGTCAAAGCAAAATGACATTAGAGTAAGGTGCGCTCCGATGCAAGGTTGAAGCATCGTCAAGCATCCCTAAACCCTAAACGCTAAACCCTAAACTCTAAACCCCATGTTTACATGAACCCTTGAGGGTGGCTTCCATCGAGGCAGCTGCCCCCCGTGCGAACAGCCCAGAAGTGATTGAACTTTGATCAGGATGCCAAGCTAGGGTTTAGGGTTTAGGTTTTAGGGTTTAGGGTTTAGGGTTCATTTGCAGCCTCGTCACCTAGCCACATGATTATCACGAACCTCAGCCGACCTCGGATTGTTGGCCCAAGAGACAAAACCACACTTTGCAATGGGGTCATGGTAGCATTTATGTAGATATATACATATATATATATATACTGCTATACGAATAGGTCAATAATTCATAACATATATATACACATACATACACATATATATATATACATATATATATAATATGTATTTATACTTATGTTTCTAGTCATGTATTAATATAGGCAACGCAGAGCTTGACAGGGTTGGACAATGGTTTTCAGACCCGGGAGGCAGCAGAGACCTTTCAGGTCAGGGAAGTGGGACTTGGGAGCTGGCTGCTGGATCTTCGTCTTGGGGTTTAGGGTTCAGGGTTCAGGGTTTAGGGTTTAGGGTTTAGGGTTTAGGGTTTAGGGTTTAGGCGCCAGAGCGCTTTCATGGAGATCTCCCAAGGACTTTGGGACTTCTCCACACACAACCATCCCAGGGTCCCCATGCCTTTCCAGCATCTGGTGCCTGGGTGTTGCTTGAATGCCCTTTGAAAATTATTTATGAGTAGGTTCCCTGAAAAGGGAAAGCAGGGAAACTTACACATCATCCTAGAGCAATACCCAGGCGCGCAAAAGCAGTTCCACGACTGCAAAAATCTGCAGAGTACTGCAAAGCTAAGGGTCCAAGTATGTACACAGCGTGGCGGCCTTCTCTCCCCGAAACCCTAAACCCTAAAACCTAAACCCTAAACCCTAAACCCACAATCACGATTTCTTGCTGCAGCTTCATTCTTCTGATGTTCACGTCTGCAAGGGTGGACCCATCCTTCGAATTCCCCCAAGCGCTGCCGCTTGACCGGCACCTAGAGCTTTCTTACGTTATCTTCCAAGGCAAAGGAAAGCGAAACTTCTCCCTCCTCTAAGAACAGCAGTCTTGAGCAGGTACCTTTCCGAGGCAGACGAAGTCAAGGCTTTGGACCTTCATTGACACATGGGCCTAAGCCATCAGCGTGCTGTTAGATTTCGAAGTGGCCGAAGTGGCGAACCACCGCCGCCAAGAAAGCCGCAACAAATGGCGCTGCCCATCCAAAAAGTGAAAGCAATGGCTGAGCATGGTCAACATTACCGCCTGTTGATTTCATGTTGCCCCTAAACCCTAAACCCTAAACCCTAAACCCTAAACCCTAAACCCTAAACCCTAAACCCTTTTGAAGGTCAAGGGTGCGGTAGGATCACGGTACAGAGAAACGGAACTTCACAGTTCAGATGCCGTCGCTAAGAGGTACACCGAAGCAGGGCCATGGACTCCTCGGATTAAGTCGAAGTCTAACAGCAAGCTGCACTTCCGATACATGGGAGTTGTTAGAAAATTATGGGCCGTGCGTTGGGGCCTTGTTATAGTATGTTCCTTGCAGTTCCGGGTACCAGAATATTGCCATAAAACGAGGCCCATAATTTGGGCCAATCCCCCACATTCCGAACTCCTCGGGCGTGCGTTGTCTGCCATCACGGCGCCAGTGGTCGGTTTCGCCGTCCGATGGCAACCCTTCCCCCCCTAAACCCTAAACCCTCAACCCTCAACCCTAAACCCTATTGTTTAACTTTAGGGGGGTATCTATGGGCCCCAGTTCCCGATGAAAAGAATCCCCGAACTCCTGGACTGGCAGAAGCTACACTAATTAACATTGCCTCTACATTTTTATATCTGCAACCTACAATGTAGTTCCTTTTGGGTCAGGTATAGGGGATTCTAGTATAATACCCCAAACAGGTACTACTTAGGAGCCTTTGGGTATTTTCAACCTTATGTTTCTTTATAACGGATAGCCCCAAGGTGGAACTACCCTTCGATCCCTATCTCCACTCAGACAGCACACTGCAACGCAAGCCCGGGCAAGGAAAACACCGCAGGATCTTCCACTGGCCCGTCAGACTGTTCAGAGCTGCTTCCTATAGTCTTTGGTGGCTTGAGCTCGATGACCTGTTCATCTGCATGCTTTGCTTTTCTCTGCCGCGTCTGGGGTTTGTGTGCTTCCAAGTTCAGCGACCTTGCTACGATTCAAAGAAAACGTCTGCTCATCTACTCTGTTACGCTAGGTCCTCGCAGCCTTTCGGAGAACCAACAAAGCTAACAAAGCTGCTTTCAGGTTCACACGAGGAGTCTGGCACTGGGCATTTCTGAAAAACAAGATCCTGTGAATATGACACGGCTCAATGTCTTGGCGCGGCAGTGCAAGCTCACTTACCATTGGCCTCCGACTGCAGGGGAGATTGTCGACTTGGCCTGATTAGGCATCGCCTATTGAAGCGGTGTCAGGCCTTCCATGGACAACAGAAGCAAACATGCATTGCGTTCATCTAGCTTCAGTGACCCGCTTGCCTCACAGGTGCTAGCGTTGCATCGTCATGGGCGTGCGACAGACCTGCAAAGAATGCCAGAAACAACAAGCTGTGCAGAGGTTACGGGCTAATTACCCTCGACAAGCGTCCTACATCTTGAGACGTCTGAAGCACGCTGCGCCAGATTGTGGTTGCACAACAAATCCCAACCCTAAATCCTAAACCCGAATCTACATCAACATTTACCAGGTGTGGCTTGGTTTGAGGCTCTGGCTGATGGCCGCCGTACCATGATAGTTGGCGGAGCAGTGACACCTGGGAATTGAAGCAAGGCACACCCTTGTATCTGTATGTTGCCATGTGTGTCTCTGCCCGATCGCCTTGCAGTATGTGCCAAAAATCAAGATGAGGGCACTATACTGCAGTACTAATCCAAACGACGGGGTTCCACACTTGACTAGCGTCCTTCTAAGCAAGTCAGCATCACAAGTGTTGTTGGCGGAGGGCGACGTGTTTGTGATCTCCCTGGACCGCTGTACGCCGCACCACGAGAGGAGGAGTTCCCAGGTGTGTTTCTGGCGTTGATTGCGTGGGCAGGTCAATTCTTACTGCCAAAGACAGGCTTATCATAAGATTGCAGCTCACCGCCTGAGTCGCGTTCGGACTGCTGCGGTGGTCTACCTACTTCACTGGAGTCACTGTGCAGCACTTTGATGTCCTAGTGTCGCTGACCCTATACATATGGGATCCTGTTAACATGTTTGATATCGTGACTTTAGACACGGGTCTGTTTTCAACACCTGCTCCTGCTCTGCGAGCTCGTGCTCTACACCTCTAAAGACTCTGGGTACCCGGCTCAGCGCGGGTGAGGGCGCACAGAGATGCGCCTGAGGCGGTGCGGGCGCGCAGAGAGGCGCCTGCGGTGGCGAGTGCATCGCCGCCAGCAGCGGCGTGGCAACAGCCACCAAGAGCTTCTCAAGCCTCGGGTTCCCGACGGTTCCCGTATCTTCATCACAGGCAGCAGTGGCAGTGGCAGCAGCATGCAGTATAGCAGGGTGCTTCGCGAGAGCCGAGGCCATCGAACACTGACATCCACCTTTGTAGTCAGAGTTGTTCTTCACAACCCAATACAGTGTGTTAAGGAAGCTCAACTCTCATGGCATTGAAGACTACGTATGACATGCATATACTATGTAGGCCACCACGATTTCTGTGGCACTGGGCTCCCTACGGATGACTGGAGCATCTTGAGAATATGCCTAAGCCCCCATATCTAGCTCCAGAAGATAGCCACTAAAGGCCTGCGGCCAAGGTGCTCTTCGTCACAGGCTTCTGGGGGCTGCCAGGCCTCCTGCATTTGCGAGCATGTGGGGGGGCCATAGACTGGCAGCCATTTCTCGACGGTTTGGGTCCAGACTTTGGGTCCTCCATCCGAGCTCCCTTGGTACAAACGCGCCCCCCGGCCAAGCCCCCGTTTTTCCCAGGCCTTCCGGAGACATGCCAGCATCGCGTCCTCTTCATAGCTGCACTCTCTCTTCATCTATAAGAGCAGTTCTGGTACTGCTGCGGGTGCGCGCAAAAATGCAGAAGGACGGTGAATCTCCCGACCTTGACGCTAGACTCATGCTTCAGCGCGGCGACCCGAACCTGCCAAGCAAGAAGATGAGACACGATGGAGGGATCCGGACTCGGTATGGCACCTAATTTTCAACCATTCAGGACATGATTGCAAGTACTGCCCGAAGCTTTCCTGCAACCGTGTGCTACCCGCACATGCCGCTGCACTGTAAAGGCTAACACTTCCACAGCTTCATCGTATTTCAGTGAAACAAGCACTGGTTGCACTCCTGTTCCTTCTCGGGCGGTGTACAACTGTTCATGAGTGTCTGCAACGTGTACTCCGACCCTACAGTAGCTGGCGTCTGCCGTCTGCTTGGACGAGCTGTGGAAAACTGCATCTACTCCTGACATGAATCCCGCGGTATTATTATAATGCTTCGTGCTGCTAGTATATGATTACATTTATGAGTATTCGGCCTTGTTGTTGTTATGTTGCGTAACTAAGTAAATGAATGAACAAATATAAATGTGTGTATAGATATATAGACAGTATATATTCAGTATACACGTACATAAGGTGTGTATGTTTTCTTGTATTTATGTATTTACCATTCACAAATTGATAAACTAGTACGTGGTGTGTCGGATCCCACATGTGCTGCTGCCAGTACCTCTACCAGCGCACTCCTGTTGCACAACTCCGCTTGTAGTGGGAGGCAGAGTAGGAGAGCCTACCCGAAGGTTGCCTCGCTTGCATGGTTTAGGGTTTAGGGTTTAGGGTTGAGGGTTTAGGGTTTAGGGTTTCGGGTGTACACATGCACAAGTACTTCTCCAGACCCCTGCAGGTGAAGGAACCTCGCTTGCGGCATTGTCAGCAGCCAGGGCTGCCTGGCGCGCTTAGCCAGAAACAGACGACATTGATGGACATTGCGTGGCAGCGTTGACCCAAGGCGAAGTGATACCTGACCACCTGAAATCCAGACTTGTCAAAAGGCTGTGGCTTGGGACATGAATGAGGCTGGCCGCTGGATGGACCTAAGAGCAACGGCACCGCACGCTGCCCTTCCCGAAACACATGCCCAGCGCGTACACCATGACATTGGCCAAGCGAGTCAGCCCGACGATGTACCTTTCGCGCTTGCTAGCCTCCTGATGAGCACGCGGTAATGCAAGATCGCATCTGCTCCCATGCTTTGCCGAACAAGTACTGAGACTGATGGTGAGACCTCTGCAATCACAACGGACATCAACTGCGCTGTGATGTTCTTGATGCCCTCCGCCACCCTAAACCCTAAACCCTAAACCCTAAACGGCTACACTTCCTTTGCCGCGCCTGCTTGAGCTCCAAGTTCTCCCCTCGCAGGGCCTGGAGGCGCCGCGCTTTTCCGGGTGTTTCATGGCGTCCCGCTTTTGCGGCTTTTGGGCGGAAGCTGGGCTCTCAACCTCTCCTGAATTTTCAAGTCGTGAAACCCTAAACCCTAAACCCTAAACCCTACCTCGAATATTTGCCCCAGTCTGAGAGCTTGGCGCACTGGGCTTCCCGCAGAGCGCGGAGCCTGCAACTTCGTGCAGCGACATGAACATGTCATGTTGTATGGGGCCCCTTGCTCCAAATTCAGAACTCAACAGCTAAACAATGCAAGCATCTACAACTCCCTGCCAGGGATGTCCAACGGGTCGCAAGAAAACCCTAAACCCTAAACCCTAAACCCTATAAACCCTAAACCGCGATGCTGGGTGCCAGACTGCTCGTTGGCCTGAGAGGAACTCTCACAGGCCGTGCCGAGAGATCTCGCCGAAGCCTGGGTTTAGGGTTTAGGGTTTAGGGTTTAGGGTTGAGGGTTGAGGGTTGAGGGCTTATGGCTTCAGTTCGCCACGGAACATGAGTCGCAAAGCCCGCTACTGCCACGCTTTCATGTCCGCTGAATATCTTACGTTGTTCTTTTTCAACTGAGTTCAGATGCAGCATATGTGTATATATATATATATGTAATATTCTAGCTAAGTATAGTATATGTATACAGACACATACATTTAGCCTTTCATTCGGTCGAATTAACGTGATACTTTGCAGATATCTGTGTATATATATATATATATATACACAGCGAATATATACATATACATCTACATGTACATATACATATGTATATACTTAATTCAGATATGGTGTGTAGATACATTTATATGTAGATTCCATGTGTAGTACATTCGTGTATGCACACGGCAGAAGGTTGGCTAGCAAATGCAGCAGAGACCACCCAATGCCCCCATCAAACTTGAACCCCAAAGCCCCTGACTGCCCAGATGTCAGAATCATTTATCTGAATCCTAGACCTGAAGATGATGTTCGCATACCTCAAATGCGATCACCACGGCAGCTAGCCTCATAGGGGTACAAGTACTTTATAATCACAGCCCCCACGCCTCCTGAACCCTGAAAGTCTGGGTACATTCTGCCCGCTGCTCTGAAGTCCTGGGAGCCCATGCTTCATCGGGGGAAGAGGCCGCAATACGGGGCATTGAGCGCGAGGCTTTGAGCCTTGGCGTTGCGCTTCGGATCTTGCTGAATGTTACACTGATGTTACAGTAGGGACGTGGAGGGCATCTGACTGTTCGACGTTCGGGTTGCAATGGAGCAATGCTGAGTCCGTCTCTCTTGGTCACCCCAATGAGGCCCTTGAAGCTCGAATGTGCTCGCTCGCATCGTCCGAAGGACGGTGGAAGCTCATAAATCCTGAGTTGCAGAGCCCTGAACTCTCAACCTAGTTAGGGGCACCACCGCCGCTTTGTTGGCGAGTCGGGATGCGACGCCGACCTGGGCCAGCCCGGCAAATTTTGGAACTTCGGAGCACGCGCGTAGTGAAGAGCAGCCAGGGGCGGCAGAGCCAAGATACTTCCTCCCAGGATGGGCTATGAGGCCCCATAATCCCCATAATCAAGCCTATAAAGGGCCTTTTTGAGGGGTTCTAGGGTACAATAGCCTGTCCTGGTCTGTTGGGAGGAAGAGAAGACCCGCTTGAGATCACCCCCCCTGGAAAGCCCTAAACCCTAAACCCTAAACCCTAAACCCTAAACCCTAAACCCTAAACCCTAAACCCTAAACCCTAAACCCTAAACCCTAAACCCTAAACCCTAAACCCTAAACCTAAGCTGCGCCTCAGATTTTCCTGGGGCCGATTCTGGGTCTCGCGCTGCTCCCTGCCCACATCTATGCAGAGTGACTTCGCGTGGGTCATTGCCGGCCCGGCCTGTGCATGTCTGCTCGATTTCCGCGCCTACAAGTTTCATTGGATGTTGTGGGCATTATTATTATGATTATTATGATTATTATTATTGTTATTATTTTATATTCTGATTGTTATTATTATTCTTGTTACTACTACTGCTACTACTACTACTACTACTACTATTATTATTATTTCAACTATTATTATTATTATTCTCATGATTATTATTGTTAATTAAGTAGTTGGGCTTCACGTTTTTCCGTTCCCATCTCCTGCGGCCTTGTGCGCAACAGGCTACATGGCTCTCACAGTAAACCCAACAACCTCAGGGAGTGCAGTTCGGGATCTGGAAAAGAAGCGCCCAAAGCGCCGATTCATCGATGGCTCCAAACCCACCACCACTTCCCACCCAAAGACTAACCCTAAACCCTAAACCCTAAACCCTTAACCCTGTATTACGCACGGCCCCAAAACTTCCTCGCCCTGCCGTGGCCTCGCTGGTCCTTGCATCCGCGGACGGCGAGGAAAAGCGAGGCACCGACTTGGAGGACTTAAGCCTCAACGTCTTGGGGGAGTTACATGGTCCCTGAATATGGCCCCTTAGCTTCTTTTTCAAGGATTCTGAAGTATGGGCCCCTATTTTTTTGCAGGGTAGAGAAGGGTAGTTACCCTAAGGCTCCAAATAGCCCAAAGTAGGCATTCTTTACAGACTTTAGACCCCCAGTGTAGGTATTATTTACTTGGAGCCCCAGGGTTACATGGTCCCTGAATAAGGCCCCCTTAGCTTCTCCTTAAAGGATTCTGAAGTATGGGCCCTTATTTTTTTTGCAGGGTAGGGAAGGGTATATCAAGGGCCCTATTTAAGGGCCCCATGTGAAGGACCCATGCAACCACTCTTCGACTCACTACGGCACTTCGGGGCTTAGGGTTTACTGTCCTGGGCCCCCAAGTGTGGGAGCGCACCGACGTCTTTCTTATCCTATATGAAACCCTAAACCCTAAACCCTATGTACGAACTGGAAAAGATAATGAAGCGCACCTCCCAGATGAAGAACAGGACAATAGGGTTCTTGGGAGTTCTTAGGTATCTTTTATTCTTCCCCCGGGGGTTGTTGTAATTCCTTAGAATATAGAGCTCTCAGAAACCTCGTTCAGCTTGCGACGGATCTATCCCAGCTCTGTTCGAAGGCTGATACGAACAGACTGCACCTCAGCACCTTCACCCTAACCCTAAACCCTAAACCCTAAACCCTAAACCCTAAACCACATGACCACTCTGAGGATGCATC